GCGGCCTTGCCAACTGGGGCGCGCCTGGTGACCGAAGTAGAGGGAGACTCCGCAACCCTGCAACCCTAAACCCTAAACCCTAAACCCTAAACCCTAAACCCTAAACCCTAAACCCTAAACCCTAAACCCCACACCCTAAACTCCAAATCTAAGGCCCTTTCTGCGCAGATGGAAATCGCATTTTCGGGGTTAGAATTTTTCAGTGTCTACCCCAAACCTGAAACCCTTGGGAAACCAGAAGCCCTAATTAAACCTTATAAACATCGGTTGCTACAGGCAGCAGCTTTTGATTTTGCGCTCGGCCGAATGGTGCTTCGCTCCGCTTGACAGCCCTGGCTTGGACAGGTACCCCTAGGCGTTCTACGTCTAAGGCAAGCTACATGGTCCCTGAATAGGGATTTAGGGCTTAGGGTTTAGGGTTTAGGGGTCTCTTCATATGCTCCCATACCTTTTGAATCGTTCTGACGTATGGGCGTGTTTTTTGGGGTATATGGCCCATACATAACAGGAACGTTGTGACCACGCTAGCCTACGAGTCTGCCCTGGGGTTAGGGTCTGAAAGGGCCTATGATTCGATGTGAGAGTTTTCATAGGTTACAGGATGCATGTTTCACTTCTTACGACATCGTTGTTGGCTCAAGCCTGGAAAAAGGTGTGCTGGTAGATTAGCCCAAACTTAATCTCCGTTCATGGTAGCGGAGCGACTCGGTTGAAGCCGCTTCGTATGTGTGGAACCTGTTGCCGCAGAGCACGAAGAAGCAGGATCATCCAGGAACGTTGGGCACGATTGGTTCGACGTTTGCAGCGGATTCGCCGGCTGCAACGCATCTGGCACAATTTGGGATTGCATCTTCAGACTTTGCTGGGGACGCAGACTTTCAGGAGGTTGTTGTCAAGGACACACCCTCGGGAGGATTGAACCACTTGGGCGAATCGGCCCAAGGAGGTAGAGAAAGGAGAAATGGCAACTCCAGAACAGCTAGTGCAAGAAATTGCAGCGCTGAGGCAAGAACTCGCGCGCCAAGCGCAGCAACACCAACAGGACTTGGAGCAAGTGAGAACAGAAAGTCAGCAGCGGACAAACGAGGCTACGCAAGCGGCCTTAGCTGCGCAAGGGCAGCTGGGCACGATACCGAATGTTGTCCGAGAGATGGGACAAACATTGCAGAATGCATTGAGAGAGCGAGACAAAGAACTGGTGGAGGCTATGAGAAGCTCGTCGAGCGACAAAGGAAAGATGGTGTTGGTAGACACAAAAGGGCTTGGAAAGCCGAGCATGTTTTCGGGAGATGCAGAACAGTATCTTCCTTGGAGGCACAGAATGACGGCATATGTGTGCTCAATTTATCCAGAGCTACGAGAAGTTCTGGAATGGTGCGAAGAAAGAGAGAAAAGCATTTCGTCGGATGAGCTCTCGGAAGCTTTTGGCGAAAAGGCCGATGAAATAGATCGAATACCAAAGCTCTTCGACAAGTCAATGGAGTTGTCGTCTGCATTGCAGATGGTGACTGCGAAAGAGCCGTTTGCGATTGTCATCAACTGCAGCACGAATGGGTTTGAGGCTTGGCGAAGACTAGCTCGGAGGTATGATCCGGCTACAGCATCCAGGAAAAGATCCATGCTCAAGTCGGTGATCAACCCCCAGAAACAAAAGCTTGAACACCTGCCTCAAGCGATCGAAGAATGGCTTGATGCAATCGCATCGTATGAGAAAAGAAAGGATGCTTCCGGAAATCGAGGAAAGATTCCAGAAGAGATCAAGATTGCAGCTTTGGAATCCATGCTACCGCAAGACTTGGAAGCTCATGTGCAGTTGAACCAGTCGAAGTTTGTCGGCTTCGAAGACTTGCTTGAGGAAGTTACGCGGTACGTAGAACACCGCACAGGCAAGACTTTGAAGGCGTTTTCGACGACCCAGATCGCTGGCAAAGAAGCCCTTGGCGACCCGATGGATGTTTCATCTGTTGGGAAAGGCCTAGGCAAGCACCAGCAGAAAACAAAGTTTCTGGGAACCTGCAACAACTGCGGAAGAACAGGACACAAGGCAGCCGATTGCTGGTCTTCAGCAAAGGGCGCCAAGGGAAGCTACTCAAAACAAGGTCCAGGGAAAGGAACACAAGGAAAGCCCAAGGGGTACTCAAACCCCAAAGGAGGTCAGCCGAATCCCAAAGGGACTAAAGGTCCCAAAGCGGGAAAAGGCAAGGGAAAGACTTCCAGCGGAAAGGGCAAAGGCAAGGCGAAGAAGGGCAAAGGAAAAGGAAAGTACACCAACAGCATAGAAGAAGCCACTGGTGACGAAGAGTGGCAAGAAGAAGGAGCCCAGAACGAAGAGCCTTGGGAGCAAGACGAATGGACAGGAGAACAAAGCTGGGAGGAATGGCCAGAGGAAAGCGAATGGAACGAAGGAAACGGGCTGCTAATAGGTGGCCTAGAGGAAGGAAGGAAAGAGAAGAAAGAAGAGAAAAGAAGAGAGAAGACAGAAGAAAAGGAGACAAAGAAAGGAAAGAGTTCCGCAGCCGTTTCGGGCCCAAGCGGGTCCAGAGGCCCAACAAGGAAAATGCCGGGTTTCGGGGACCGCCTGCGAAATGCAGGAATAGACCCGGAACAGCTGGAAGGACTGAACGACGATGAGGCACAAGAACTACAGGACGCATTGCTCGAAAGCTTGGCGGCGCTCCAGGCTAGGAGAGCTAAAGCACGGAATACGCAACCAGAAGAAGCAGTGCCAGCCAAGACAAAGGCAAAGGAGGAGGCCAAGGCCAGCTCGAGTGCTTCGCTCGGTGCGCGGCCTAGACCTGCCTTCGTGAGACCGCCTTCAGGGCCGCCGCCTCCCAAAGGGAAAGTGTCAGGAAGCACAAAGCCGGCTGAACCGGTGAAACCACCGTCGGTTCGAGCGAAGGCAGCGCAAATGCTGCCGAGACCGAAGTACACCAGTGAAAGTTCCACGCCAAAGTCTGGTGGGAGAGTTCCAGTTCCAGGGTCCGTTCGGCCCGCGGAACCAAAGGGACCACCGCCGGTTAAGACAAGAGGAAGTCGGGAGCGTGGAAGGTCACTGGAAAGGGCCCCGAAGTCACCTAGGACTTCGGGCAAGGAGCCCAAGAAGCACGAAGAGGAAAGGAATAGAGAGAAAGCGAGCGGAAGCGAGGACCCCAAGAAGCACGAAGAGGAAAGGAATAAAGAGAAAGCGAGCGGAAGCGAGGAAACCAAAGGAAGCAGATACAAGCCAAAGAAGAAGCTGACGCTCAGGGTGATGCGAGAACTAAAGTCGAAGGAAGATTGGGCGAAAATGAACTACAGCCAACGCAGAGAGCACCAAGAGAGAATCCGTCACCTACTGCCGCCTGGAACCGTTGGACAACAGATCCTTAAGAAGCAAGGAAGTGCGTGCAGCACGTGTCGGAGCAGAAGAAGAAAGACTCGGAAAGCTGTGCAAGAATACCTTGCGAGGAAGAGGAAAGAATACGAGAGCCTCAAGAAGCCGCCGCCAGTTGGACTCGCGAGAAGTTTGCTGCGTAGAGAAGGTATGCTGAAGCCACCGGGAGAAAGACAGGGACCCAGCAAGAAGGGACCCAAGGAAGAGAAAGAAGCTTCGGAAGAATCCGAAGGGAAGAGTGTGGAGCCCCCGAGCAGCGGCCAGGAAGAATGGTCGGAGGAAGAGGAGCCCAAGGAAAGCGACGAGACCGTGGAGGTCAACGAAGAAGAGGAGGAGCAAGGACCTCCCGGAAGAGAGAAGCCAACAAGCCACTCGGGCGTTTCGCCCGCTGGAGGCTTTGAGCTAGAAGTAGAAGAGCTCCAGCCGGAACGTCGGCCGAAGGAGCCAAGCGAGAAAGAGAAGGCCCGCGCTAGGGAAGAGCACGCAGCAAGGATGCGAGCTCTGCAAGGTCAACAGCTTGCGCCAGCGGAAGCAAAGCCTAAGGCTGAAGCAAAGGCTATTGCGAAAGCGAGTGACGCGACAGCAGACGCCACGTCGATGTCTTCGTCGGCGGCGATGCAGAACATGCTGCAGGGCAGCCTGTTAGGAAGTCTTACGCAAGATCGGGGCCGCCTGCTGAAAAGGCTCGAGGAGTTCAAGAAAGAAGAAATGAGCGAGGACGACTTTGAGGAAAAGTCGCAGATCGAGGCCGAGCTGGAAAGCATCCTCGAACAAATCGCAAAGTTGAAAGAACGCGGATTGGCCAGGCCTGCGCCCAAAGCAGCAGGACGACTGGACCAGTCAGTGCACGATGCGAGATATCGTGCGGCCATCGCAAAAGGGATGTCACACGCAAAGGCGTGGAAGGAAGAGAAAGGAAGAAGGCGAGCTGCGCAGCAGCGCCAACAAGGAGAAAAGGAGCGCGCCACGCTCAACGTGGAGATGCAAGAGGCCTGGGCAAAGCACTTCACCACAGTGCCCGGGCGCAAAGAAGACAAAGTGCAAGTCGACGCCGTCGAGACCGTGACCGTCGACAGCAGCGGCAAGGAGATCGACCCAAGCACAGTCCGGAGTTCGGTCGCGGTGCCGCTGACGAGAAAGGAGAGAACGTACTACCGCCAGGAGTACGAAGAAGAGCTGAAGCCAAGAAAGGAGAAGGTGGAAAAGCCGCCTGACCCGGAGAGACGGCGGAGAGTCAACGAAAAGAGAGCCATGAGAAGAAAGAGGCTTGCAAACAAGAACAAAGGAAAGGGCAAGCAGAAGGGAAAGCAAGAAAGCAAAGCCCGAGGAGAAAAGAGAAAGGAGCCGCCCGAAGAAGACGAAGACGAAGAAGATGAAGACGAAGACTGGGGCGACTGGAAGAAGCCACCGAGAGATCCCGATGAACCTCGGGACCCTCCTGAAGGAGAAGCACTTGTGGTGGCGTCGGTCGAGACGACTATGGCCACGAACGCCGTTTCGGCGTCCGGAGGCCGTGGTTCGCAACGCGGCCAGGAACGCGTCGAAGTGAACTTCGACAGCGGAGCCGCTGTGACGGTAGTGCCACTGCATGAAGTTCGGCAACGGAAATGAAAGGCCCAGAGAAGAAATGAAGTTCAAGACAGCGAGCGGTGAAAACATCGCAGACCATGGGCCCATCAAGTTGAAGGGCACCACGTCGACCGGGAACAATGCAACACTGCATGGTCGTCTGGCGGACGTCCATCGTGTTCTTGGTTCGGCTTCGGATATTTGCAAGACTCACCACGCCGTCCTCGGAGACAATGGTGGGTATCTTATCCCGAAGCAAAATGCGTTTGGCAAGGAGTTCAACATGATGATGCGAAAGCTGGTGAGAAAATACCGCGACGACCCCCGCAGCGCTACCAGACTCCACGTAAGGCGCGGAGTCTATGTGTTCGACTTGTCATGCTCCCCTTTTCCGGGGCAGCAAGACGCGTAAGACCAAAAGTGAGAGGTAGCGAAGTTTCACCTGTAGAGGTTTCACCTAGTGACCTGGAGGCTCCGCCGGTTGGCGAAAACCAGGGGCCCGTAGCTGAGAGAGAGAGAGTTGAGGGTAGAGAGGAAGAAGGAATGAAGGAAGGAGAGGAAAGGACTGAAGGAAGGATGGAAGAGCCAGAAGACGCGCCTGGTGAAGAACAAAGAAAAGTGAACGTTCCTTTGGGACCGTCGCAGCCAACTGCGAGAGAGATCGCAGAGCATGAGGCGAGCGGACACGCGGTTCACAGGAGCTGGTGTGTACATTGCATGCGCGCACGCGGCAATGTGCAAAGCCATCCAAGAACGGTTCGTTCTGGAGAGGGAGAAGTACCAACCTTGCACGCCGACTACTTCTTCCTAGGCAGCGACGGAGAACGAGAGGACATCATGCCGCACCTAGTGGTGCGATGCGACAGAACCAGAAGGACATGGGCAACCTCGTTGCCGCAGAAAGGAGTCCACCCTTTCAACACAAACTGGTTTTGTTCCATAGTGCGTGAAGCAGGATGGAAACGCATGATACTCTTTTCAGATGGCGAACCAGCGCTTGTTGCACTAAAGCAAGCCGTGGTCGAAAACATGAGGGACGTTGAGATCACTTTGAAGGAATCGCCTACGTCTGTCAACGAAGAGAACGCGCCGAGCAATGGCTATGCTGAATGTGCGGTTCGAGAGGTAAAGAGAATGATTCGAGCTACGCTGTCGGACTTGGAAAGCAAGCTACAGCTCAAGATCGACCCGAACCACAGCATACTTACGTGGATAGCGAGACACGCAGCGTTTCTGTTGACAAGGTTTCGAATAGGTGACGACGGCAAGAGCGCCTATCAAAGAGCCGTGGGAAGAGAATGGAGAAGGCCCACTGTGGTGTTTGGCGAGCAGATCTTGTTCAAGCCTGTGGGTGCTTTGGGCAAGAAAAGAAGCTCACCGTTGGAACCGCGAGTAGCAATGGGACGATATGTGGGGACAGCGAGTAGGAACGCGGACCTCCTCGTGATGACACCCACTGGAGTCGTCAAAGGACATTCTCTCCATAGGCGAGCCGAAGAAGACCGATGGTCGAAGGAAGGATTCGACCAGCTGAGAGGTCTACCGTGGAAATGGACCAATCCAGTCGAACGTGCGCCACCGAACCGAGTGGACATGCCGGAACTTGTGGGAGAACAGCCAAAGCCTGATCCGAAAGAGTTTAGAGCGAGAAGCCTCTATGTACTCAAGTCGGACTTGGCGAAGTATGGCTACACCACACTGTGCCCCGGCTGCAGATGTTGGATTTGCCACAGCGAAGCCACAATGAGGAATGTCGATTTCGCATTCAGAGACACCTGATGGAAACCGAAGAAGGAAAACAGAGAGTTCAAAAGGCGATAGAACGAATGGACAAAGACTATTCCGCCAAGAACAAGAAGAAAAGAAAAGCTCAAGAAGAACCCGCGTTGGAAGGTCAACCTGCAGAAGGAGAGGTTGCAGCTGAAGAAGCTGCAGGAGCACCATTGGAACGTCCAAGCCAAATGCAGGTGGACAACCCAAGTCGAGAGTCACGAAAGCGAGAAGCGGAAAGACATGTCGAAGATCTTTATCATGAAGAACAAGAAACAGATGAGCCCGACATTGTCAGAGCAAACATTCAAGGTGGAAGTTCAGGATCTGGTGGAGAACACACGGATCTGTCGTACAAGCAGGTGAAAGATCCAGAGCAGTTGGACGATGTGAGCTACCTGGAACATGAATTCCACTCGCGAGGCATGCGATGCACAAGAAAGGAAGCAGAAGTGATATCCAACCTGGTTGGTTCACTAGGTGTGGATGTCAAAGCATCTGTTCCTTTGAATGAAGGACTGTGCCTAAGTGTGGAAGACAAGGGCTGGCGACTTCAGAAGCAAGATGAAGTTGAAGCCTTGTTCAGAAAGCTCGAAGAAGAGAAGCCAACGCTCGTGGTGGGACTACCGCCCGATGGACCATTTGCGGGAGTCCAACGAAGCTACAATTCTCTTCAGAAGGCGAGCAAAGAGAAAGAAAAGACAGTGCTGGAAGTTGGAAGGAAACAGGTGAGAACCTGTGTTGAAGCATACAAGTTCCAACTAGGACAACAGAAGTACTATCTCCAAGAATGTCCCAAGGGTGCAAAATCTTGGGAGCACACTCAGTACCAACAACTGAGTGAGGAGTCCTATGTGGTCGAAGGTCCAATTTGCAGATGGACTGTGAACAAAAGCGGTGGAAACTTGGAAGGAAGTTCTTTCAAGAAAAGAACGAGATGGATCACCAACTCTGCCGCGCTAGCAGCAGCACTGCGAAAGACATGTGCTCGAACAGGACAAGAAAGAGTCTGGAAGAGAGAACTTGCGTTCGAGGAGGGGAAAGTTGCAGCGAGACTGTGTTACCCTCCAAGACTCGTGCAAGCCATTGCCAAAGGCATCAAAGCACAACTGGTGCTTGATGGTGAACTCAAAGAGCTTGGTTCAGTTGGAGGACCTGATCCTCATGAAGAACCGAACTTCGAAGAACATCATTACGAGACGTTGCCTAAGGCAGATGAGCTCTACGTCAAAGAACCGGTCATCGATGCAAATACAGGTGCAGAACTCAATCCAAAGAAGGTAGCGAAGGCACGATTGACAGAACTCGAATGGGTGAAGAAACAGAACGTCTATACCAAAGTGGACGAAGCGACTTGCTGGCAAGAAACCGGAAGACCACCCATCACGTTGAAGTGGGTAGACAGAAACAAGGGAGACAATGTGAACGAGAACTACAGAAGCCGACTTGTAGTTCGAGAAGTCAAGTCTCAAGGGCAAGCAGCCTTGTTGCCTGAACATGCGTTGTTCAGCAGTATGCCGCCACTTGAGGCAGTGAAGCTTCTGTGTTCACTCATGACCACTCTACGCGTTTCGCGAAGAGGAGGCAAACTGTCTTTGCGGTTGATAGACATCAGCCGTGCCCATTTCTACGGTCGTGCAACTCGAAGAATCTTTGTGACACTTCCAGAAGGAGACGAATCTCCTGGAAAGTGCGGACTTCTACTCAAGACCATGTATGGAACCCGTGACGCATCAAGTACTTGGCAAAGAGACTACAGCGAACTTATGGCAAAGCACGATTTCCGCGCTGGAAAGGCGTGGCCATGCATCTTCTACAACGAGAAGGAAGATGTCAGACTTCTGGTGCATGGTGACGACTTCTTTTGTTTGGCAGATGACGAAGGCCATGCGTATCTAGACAAAGCTCTGAGCGAACGGTATGAGTATCGATGTGACGGACATATCGGACCAACACATGGAGACCAAATGGTCGTGTTGAACCGTCTGATCTGCTATGACAAGGAGACCGGCAAGGTTACCTATGAAGCAGATCCCCGTCATGTGGAAGCTCTAGTCAGAGAGCTTGGTTTGGAAAAGGCCAAGGCTGTAAGGACACCTGCGGAAAAGAAGAAACAGGGAGAAGTAATGAAGACCCTAGAGATGCCACCAATGAACGACGCGATGCAGCGAAGCTATCGCTCAATAACTATGCGAGCCGCGTTTTTGGCACAGGATCGGCCAGATATCGCGGAAGCCACAAAGAGCCTAGCCAGACACATGAAAGCACCTCATGAAGCTGCCTGGTCGGACTTGAAGAGGCTTGGAAGATACCTGAGTGGAAAGCCAAGACTGGTATACGAGTACCATCCTCAACGATTCCAAAAGGACCTGACCGTGTACTGTGATTCAGACCACGCTGGTTGTCTCATCACGCGGAGGTCCACAACGGGAATTGTGACCATGTATGGCTCACACTGTATCAAGCATAGTTCCAACGTGCAGACAACCGTGAGTCTGTCGTCTGGAGAAAGTGAGTTCTACGCGATAGTGAAAGCCAGTGCAGTTGGACTGAGCCAACAGGCCCTACTGCACGATTGGGGTATCCAAGTGAACCTACGCATCCTCAGCGACAGCAGTGCCGCAAGGGGTACGTGCTCAAGGCAAGGTCTGGGGCAAACCAGACACGTACAAACAAGATACCTATGGGTTCAAGAGAAAGTAGCACGCAACGAGCTCAAGCTCGAGCGAGTCGCTACGGAAAAGAACCTGTCGGATCTGTGTACGAAACCACTGCCTGAGATTGCCGTTGAAAAGCACTTGAAGACCATGGGTCTGAAGCACTACGAGAAAAGAGCTGAAGGAGGAAAGCAACTGGTGTGAAAGCAAAGGCCAACAACAGGAGTAGAGGACTTTGAAGGTTAGAGGCCACTGGATGGAAAACCCATCACCTGGCCTAGGAGGGGTGATTCGATGTGAGAGTTTTCATAGGTTACAGGATGCATGTTTCACTTCTTACGACATCGTTGTTGGCTCAAGCCTGGAAAAAGGTGTGCTGGTAGATTAGCCCAAACTTAATCTCCGTTCAGCCTAAACCCTAAACCCCAAACCCTAAACCCTAAACCCTAAACCCCAAACCCTAAACCCCAAACCCTAAACCCCGAAACCGAAACCCCAAACCCCAAACCCTAAACCCCAAACCCGAAACCCCAATCCCCAAACCCTAAACCCGAAACCCTAAACCCTAAACCCTAAACCCTAAACCCTAAACCCTAAACCCACTTTGAGGCAAGCCATGGTCTCAAAGCACAGGACTCCTCGGAGCATCACCTGAAGGGACTAAGGGAGGGGCCCTTGCAAGGGACCTTAGGGTGTTTAGGGCTTAGGGCTTAGGGCTTAGGGCTTAGGGTTTGGGGTTTAGGGTTTAGGGTTAGGGTTTAGGGTTTAGGGTTTGGGGTTTAGGGTTTAGGGTTTGGGTTCTTAAGGGCGGGGGGTTCAAGGGTCTGCAACCCAAGGTTCCCTACTACTCCCCAACCACTCCCCAATTCGTCCCTAAGGCTCCCTAGCCTACCACCATGAACCCCGCTACCTCAAGACCTAGTAGTAGAGTAGGAAACCTTTAACCTTTTTGTGGTAGTATAATCCCCTAGGAATCCCAAAGGTTAACCTTTAATTCCCCTTGGTTACTGGACAACTAAGAAGAACTCCCTTGAGAACCCCATAAAGGGGCTACATTGGGCCTGTTTAGGTATCTAGGGACTACATTGGGCCTGTTTAGGTATCTAGGGATGATGTCAGGTACGTATAGGGGTAGTAGGAGGGGGATAAGATGAAAGGGGTTCCTTCTAGGGGTCCCTCCTGATATCCCTTCAAATTCCTGGCCGAAAATTCCGTGGAGGAATTGAGAATGCCTGCCTGAAGGTCCGCGCCCAAAGGTCCGATTTAGGGTTTGCTACTGTTTGCTTAAGAACCCCAAAAGAATAACAAACAACAAGCCCCATATTGACCTTAATAAGGAAGAATGTTTTTGAATTTCTGAGTTCTTAAGCAGTTAGTAGTTTAACGTGTAGATTTTTGCGGAGGTTTAGGATTTAGTGTTCAGGGTTTAGTTTTTTGGTGGTTTGGGACTTTAGGTTTAGGCGGCTCAGTGTTTATAGGGTTTAGTTTAGTTACAGGGCGTTTAGGGTTTTAGGGCTTTTGGTTTTTGGGCGTTGCGGTTCGACACCTACCCCGATCTTCCAAAACCCCTCAATCCAGGAATATGCCCTCATTCAGAATAGGGATCCTTAGTATAACTTCGGGAAGAATTATTCCTTGCCCTTCTGTACATGCAGATACCTTCTTGTCTCTCTAGGGTACTTTGTGGTGCTTCACCGTAACTTTAGATCCTTAGCCTTCTTGGGGTTTATTGGGTTTCTTAAGAAGGCAGCTAGAAGTTTTTTGTTTTTTATTTTTTTACTTTGTGGTACTTTACTGTAACTTTAGATCCTTACCTTTTTTGGGTTTATTGGGTTTCTTATTAAGGCAGCTAGAAGTTTAATTTTTTACTGGCCTCTTAAGTGAACCCTAAACCCTAGACCCTAGACCCTAAACCCTAAACCCTAAACCCTAAACCCTGAACTCAGCAGAATCTGCTACGGCCTCGGACCCTTTCTGCAGCTCGGTGTGGGGGGCAGGAAAAGCACCCTTGTGTGGCCCTCACCCCAAAAACCTAAATCCCAAACCTAAAATTAGGGTTTAGGGTTTAGGTTTTAGGAATTAGGGTTTAGGGTGTGATAACCCTCTCAAGATAGGGCATACCCCCCTAGAATAGTCTAGGGTTTAGGGTACGTGGAGCCCAAAAGGAAAACCCTACGGCACACTGACTCTTTCAGGGCGTTTGAGAGCACAGCGTCTGCCTCCTGCTCCCCCCGGACGCAGCACCGGCAATCCCTCCGGGCGTTCCGCACGCGGTGCAGGGCATCGTAGCACACCGCTGCACGGAAAAAATGCGGGGTGCACGAAGCGCCTAAAGCCCGAAACGTGATGAACCCCAAGCCCTAAACGCCAGCCCCTAAGGCCCTAACCCGGAACCCCAAACCCTAAACCCTAAACCCCTAAACCCCTCAACCCATCAACCCCAAACCCCAAACCCCAAACCCTAAACCCAAGTTTCAGAGTCTCGGCCGAGCACGCCCGAATCAAGTTTGGGCGCCTGTTTCGGGTCGTCTGAGGATCCGGCCCAACTTCACGAACCCTAAACCCTAAACCTAAACCCTAAACCCTAAACCCTAAAGCCATAGTAGTGGCTGCAGCGGCAGGCGGCGCAGGAGTCGCCGGCGGCAGCGGCGCCGGCCGAGGGCGACGCCAAGGCACTGCTTGAAAGGTTTAGGGTTTCGGGTTTGGGGTTTGGGGTTTAGGGTGTAGGGTTTGGGGTTTGGGGTTTGGGGTTTAGGGTTTGGGATTTGGGGTTTAGGGTTTGGGGTTTAGGGCTTAGGGCTTAGAGTTCAGGGTTTGTCGGGTTTAGAGTTTGGGGTTTGGGGTGGCTTGAAGAGGCGGAGAAGCTCGATTCCAGTTTCGGCTTGCTTCCACCCTACCTAAGCCCTAAACCCTAAACCCTAAACCCTAAACCCTAAACCCTAAACCTAAACCCTAAACCCTAAGGCTTCTCTTCACTGTCACGGTACCAAGACGGGAGCTCCTTTTTGCGACACCTAGGAGGGTTGAGGGTCTAGGGTTTCGGGTTAGGGTTTAGGGTTTGGGGTTTGGGGTTTGGGGTTTAGGGTTAGAGTTTAGGGTATAGTGACCTCAACAACGAGCGCGATGTAGCACCCTCCTCGAGGCCAACAGCATCCCAGACCCCGGGGAGGATCCAAAAAGTAGAACCCTAAATAGTACCCTAGACGACTTAGTAGCTACATTTTGTGGGATACAAAAATGTCTATAGAACTGAAAGTGTACACTTTGGGGCTTATGAACTCAGCAACTAAGACTACGATTGGGTCATTTTGAGGAGCCCTTTAAGGGATCCTCTTTTTGGATCCTCCCGTGGGTCTGGCATGCTATGAAACCCCTTTGGGGAATTCAGCCCCACAGCCCAACAAAATGCTCCTTATTTAAGCCGCGAAGGTGCGCAGCAAGCTCTAAACCCTAAACTCCAAAGTCCTCAACCCTAAACCCTCAACCCTAAACCCTAATCCTAAACCCTAATCCTAAACCCTATAAACCCTAAACCCTAACCCCTTCACAAGTAAGCTCAACTCCCTGTCGTCGCAAGGCCGCGTCCTTGGGACCGGTTGGCCTTCTCGCCGCCTTCATGCCCTGCGTCCGGCAGAAGGCGGAGGGGCTGAGGGTTTGTAGGGGTTTAGTGTTAGGGGTTTGGAGTTTATGGTTTAGGGTTGAGGGCGCTTTAGGGGGGTTTTAGGGCTTAGGGACCCTGAGCCCCCGCAACAAGATTCCTGACCCGAATCTTGAAACCCTAAGCCCGAACAGCCGCAATCCTCGAAACCTTAACCCTTTAGCAGATCCTAAACACCGCAATCTTGAACCCCTTAGCCCCCACAAACCCCATAAACTCACGAACCCCCAACCCCAACCCTAAAGACCCTAAGCCCCAAACCATAACCTTGGGCCCCATAAGCCCTAGAGACCCCGATCCTGAAAACCCTCAACCCCAAACCCTCAACCCTTTAGAGTTTAGGGTTTAGGGTTCAGGGCCCTCGACCACAGACCCTCAACCCCAAACCCTGCCTAGACAAAGAGCCCAGGCGTTAGGGGGGGGGGGGCTCGGCAGTTCGCCAGCGCTCAGGGACTCGCCGAAGAATCAGGGTTTGGGGTTGAGGGTTTAGGGTTCAGGGTTTAGGGTTTAGGATTTAGGGGCCCAAGTTTAGTTCAGGGTTTGGGGTGGGGGTTGAGGGTTCTAGGATTCCAGGGTTTAGGGCTTGCCTTTGGCCTGCATTGGGGAGTAGCAACGCTTGGCGAACTTAGCTTGGGCCCTTGTACCGGGCTATACCTTGGGGGCTTTTACGCATCCTCAGCACCGAAACCCCACAGCCCTCGATCCCACACTCTGGGGTTTCTAACCCCTGAAGCCTAAATCCTAAACTCCCTAATGTGGGGGCCTGAAAAATTCGAACAGGGTTTTGGGGGTTAATGAATTAATGAAGTACAATTATGTAGGGATCATCAGGTAATTCCTCCGACCCCTACAGAAACCGCCGAATCCTACTCTCCCAAGCACCGCAAACGAGCAGGTGCGGGTCAGACGGCCTCTGCCGCACGCCTCCTTCCTGTGAGCACTGAACGGGCGGTGAGGTAGTCGATCAGCGTCGATACCCTTCTAGGATTGAGGGGCCTAGCGCCTCAAAATCTTAAACCCCTAAGCCGCCCAAAAAACTAAAAAAAAAAAACACAACAACAAGGACACCCCCCCAGGACCCCCCCCCCCCCCAAAAAAAAAAAAAAAACTCCAAAAACCCTCCCAAGACCGCTGAAACCCTAAAAGCCCTCAAGCCTCCCCCAAAACCCTAAACCGAAACACCTAACCCCTTAAACCCCTCAGGCCCTAAAACCCTCCAAAGTCCCACATAGAACCCCCCCCCCCCAAACAAAAAAAAAAAAAAACGAAAAGAACACCTTAAACCCTAAACCCCTCAAGCCCTAAACCCTAAACCCTGAACCCTAAACCCTAAGTCCCAGAAACCCCCAGCGGTTCGGGAGCCGGAGTCGGAGGGCAGCTGCCATGCGATGCCTTGGAAAAGTCGGGTGGTTAGGGTTTAGGGTTTAGGGTTTACGGTTTAGGGTGGCCCTTTGAGCCCCAAAACGCGAACCCGTTCAGGGTTTAGGGTTTGGGGTGTAGGGTTTTTCCATGAGTCTTTCTCTATGCGCCTATATAAACAAAACTGTATATATAAATACTGACTAAATAAATTAAAATAAGTGTACGTATGTGTATATATATATATACACACATTTTTTGTCTGTGTGGTTGTACTAATTTATTCGTTTGGGGTGTAATGGCCGGTTGCGAGGTTTCGATCATCTTACGCAGCCTCATCACATTCAGTACAGCAGATGAGAGACCATGCTTGCAGAGGTCTCACGAATTCGTTACACCCTAAACCCTAGACCCTAGACCCTAAGCCCTAAGCCCTAAGCCCTAAGCCCTAAGCCCTAGACACGAACCCTGAGCCCTCCCTAAGTTTCGAAAGCCGAAACCTGGGCCCTAAACCCCCCTAAACGAGGTTTCGGGTTGTTGGGTTCGGGATGTAGGATTTAGGGTTTAGGGTTTAGGGTTAGCTGACCAGTCAGACAGCCTCTATGTCTCACCTTTCGGACCTTGACGCTCCTGGAGACCTTTCGTTACATGTGGTTCTACATCTGTTCGGGTTTGCGGTTTAGGGTTGCTGCGCCGTGCCGCCCTCAGAAGTAGGGGTTGGTGCCCAATTTCCCCTGTTGCACATCTGATTCAGCAAGACCTGTCCCATATGCCGATGGGTTTGTGCAAAATGTGCCTGGGACATATGCTGCTAGTGAAGAGCCGGCCTGCAAACTTGGTAAACCCTAAACCCTAAACCCTAAACCCTAAACCCTAAACCCTAAACCCTAAACCCTAAACCCTAAACATCTCTTCCTTAGCACGTACAACCTCCGCACAAAGCTCTTGGCAAATGTCCCAAAAAGCAGTCCCAGGTGAACGGGTAGAAAGCCCCAGCCTTAGCACTCTAAACCCCAAACCCTAAACCCTAAGCCTCGCGAACAAAGGATCCGGGTGTAAGCTTTATAAGCTGGAGGGATATCAGGTATTTTTAAGGTCTGTCTACAAGGTTATTATGGCTTATAGGGTTAAAAACCCTAAACCCTAAACTCGTAGCCCTAAGCCCTAAACCCTAACGTTAGGACCCGGGACCCCTTTCAAGTGCCGGCGTATCGGCCTACACCCTAAACCCTAAACCCTAAACCCTAAACCCGGTTTTAGGGGGGCCATGCTCCTCCACGTGTCGCTGCTCAGCGGCAGCACCGCCCGCGTCGAGACTGCGCCCAGCGCCGTCTTGGCCGACGTCAGCGCCTGCGCCCGGTTTACGACTACTTGCTTGAGAACCCCACTCCCCCGGCTTAGGGTTTAGGGTTTAGGGTTTAGGGTTTAGGGTTTAGTGTTTGGGGTTTAGGGTTTATAATAGGGCAGTTTACTACTAATTGCTTAAGACCCCCCCCCCAAAGGGTTTAGGGTTGTCTAACGTTACTTGGTAGCCCAGTAACCATATTAGAAAAAGGATGCCCTTGTACTACTAGCTTAAGAGAGCCCATAATAAATAAAAAAAACAAAAACATAATCATAAGGAAGATAATGTTAAAGAAGTGAAGTATTCTTCCTTATTAAGGGCATTGTCGGCACCATTCTGGGGGATTCGTCAGCAAGTAGGGTTTAGGGTTTAGGGTTTAGGGTTTAGGGTTTAGGGTTTGAAACATTGAACCTTAAGCCCTAAACCTCATGGAACCCTGAACTCGCTCAAACCCCCCCTACACCTCGGTGCACCCTCCTATTGTCGGGAGTTCCTAAGGCCTCGTAAGGCTTCTTTCTAACCCCTAATGCCCCGTCCCCCCCCCCCCCCCCCCCCCCCCCCCCACCCCCCCAACCCCAACAAAAAAAACAAAAATCCTCTAAAACACCCCTAAACCCAGAACCTTAAACCCGAAACCCTAAACCCGACAGCCCCCAAGATCCTCCAAACACCCTAAAAGCCTGAACCCTAAACCCTAAACTCTAAACCCGAAACCCTAGCCCTAAACCCTAAACCCGGAAGATGGCCCAGGAGACCGCGCCGAGGAGGTTCTCGATGTGGGCATCCAATGTCTCATTTCTCCTGAAGGACAGGGCTGTGACCCCAGAGTAGGCCCTAATTCCCCCCTTGTTTTAGGGTTTAGGGTTTAGGGTTTAGGGTTTAGGGTTCAGGGTTTAGGGTTTAGGCCCCTTGTTCCCTTTGGTTTTGGGGCTTTGGTTCCCTTACACGCCCCTTTATGAACCAAAGCGGGCACCCGCTTAGTCCTAGGTTCCTCCTGGGCCTGGGATGCTGTAAGGTTTGGGGTGTTAGGGGTTTAAAGGTTGTAGGGCTGCCTTCGCCCTTAGTTGAACTTTAAACTTTTTGGGTTTCCTTATTTAGTAGGAATATCAAAGTTTAACCCTTTTTTCCCCCTGGTTAGTGGAGAAGTAAGAGGGTTTTAGGGTTTGAGGGCAAGGCTTGGGTATTTGGGGTTTTGGTGACTAGGGTCTTGGGTTTTAGGGCTTAGGGATTTAGGGTTCAGGGTTTCTCCTGAAGGACAGGGTGTACGGTTTAGGGCTTTCGGGTTTCAGGGGTTTAGGGTTGGGGGCTTAGGGACGAGGGTTTACGAGTTTAGGGTTTAGGGGTTTAGGGTTTAGGGTTTAGGGTTTAGGTTGTAGGGTTCTAGGGTTTAGGGTTAGGTCGCTTAGGGACGTTGGGGTGTTGGGGGTTCAGGGGCTTAGTCGGTTTGACGGCTTCGGTTGTTGCTAAACCCTACCAACCCTACAAACCCTAGAAACCCTACAAACCCTACAAACCCCACAAACCTACAACCCCAACAAACGCTACAAACCCTACAAACGCTACAAACCCTACAAACGCTACAAACCCTACAAACCCTACAAACCCTACAAACGCTACAAACCCTACAAACCATACAAACGCTACAAACCCGACAAACCCGACAAACCCTACAAACCCTACATACCCCACATACCCTACATGCCCTACAAGCCCTACATACCCTACAAGCCCTACAAACCCTACATACTCTACAAGCCTTAAACGCTACAAACCCGAAAGCCCGCGCATGAAGGCAACCCTAAACCCTAAACCCTGGACCCTAAACCCTAAACCCTCAACCCTCAACCTCAACCCTCAACCCCTCAACCCCTCAACCCCTCAACCCCTCAACCCCTCAACCCCTCAACCCCTCAACCCCTCAACCCTCAACCCTCAACCCTCAACCCTCAACCCTCAACCCTAACCCTAAACCCTAAACCCTAAACCCTAAGCCCTAAACCCTCAAGGCCATCCTCTGGACGAGAGCCGGGCCTTGTCGGAGTTGGGTCTGGCGGATGGCGCCTCGCTGGGAGCTGTGGTGCGCCAGGCGCACCTCGGTTTTTGGGGTTTGGGGTTTAGGGTTTAGGGTTAGGGTTTTGGGGTTTGGGTTTGGGGTTTAGGGTTTGGGGTTTGGGGTTTAGGGTTTGGGGTTTACTGTAGGGTTTAGGGTTGGGGTTTAGGGTTCAGGGTTCAGGGTTTAGGGTGTAGGGTTTAGGGTTTGGGGTTTAGGCTTTGGGGTTTAGGGTTTGGGGTTTATGGGGTTTGGGGCGTTTAAACGTATAAGGTTTAGGGTCCTGGGTTTTGTTTTTTTCGAAATTCCTTGTAGTTGTCTGGTGTCAAAAGGTGCCGCAACAGGGAGTGTTGGCCTGAAGCCCTAAAGCCTTATCCCCAGAACCTTTCAACCCGAGACCGTAAACCCGAACTCCGCGCGGGAGGAACCCTAAACCCTAAACCCTAAGCCTTACAGACCCTAAACCCCATAGCAACCCTAAACCCTAAACCCCAAACCCTAAACCCTAAACCCTAAACCCTAAACCACAGCCTGTCACCCCTAGACCCGACTTCCGTGCTTTTTGGGAGGCCTCCCTCGCCTCGAGCCAGTATGCTTTTGCCTTCGCGCTGGTGCGGGGCAACGGCGACGTGGTGACCTGGGGCGATCCCTCCAAAGGCACAGCAAGCTAAGGATGAAGCCCTAAGCCCTAAGCCCTAAACCCTAAACCCTAATCCCTAAGCCCTAAGCCCTAAGCCCTAAGCCCCAAGCCCTAAACCCTAAACCCCAAGACCTGGTGTAAACTAGAGTCTAAAAGGATGCTGCTGGTGTAGCGGTCATGGTTGTCATCAGGTCTAAGATGAGGGTCCACTTCGGGTTATATAAACCCTAAACCCCAACGCCAAACCCTAAACCCTATAACTTCAGGTTATATAAACCCTAAACCCCAACCCCAAACCCTAAACCTTATAAACCCTGAGCCCTAAACACGCCCCAGGCGCCGATGCGGCCGCGGCCGCAGAAATCCGCGGTGCAGTCTCCGCACCAGGGCGAAACCCTAAACCCTAAACCCTAAACCCTTAGAAGCAACCTGAACCCTAAACCTGGGCTACACTCTGCAGGGTTTAAGGTCTAGAGCTCAGGGGACCCTAAACCCTGAACTCCTGAACCCTAAGCCTCTACTCGAGTGCTCTACAATCGTAGGTCTGTCTGTTGGTGTGGTTTGCCTAATCCCTAAACCCAACACCCTAAACCCCGAAACCCTTTCTCTTTGGTGTTAAGCCGAAGGTCTTTTGGTGAGGGGGTGTTTGGCGGTGCTATGCCTTCTAGCCCTAAACCCTAAACCCTATAAACCCCGAAACCCTTTCTCTTTGAGTTCAGAGTGTCCCCCTACACCCCCAATCCTCCGAACCTGGGTACCTATGGAGCCTTAGGGAAGCTTAGGGAGTAGTAGGGAGTATTAGGGAGCCTTGGGTTACATACCCTAAACCCCAAACCCTAAACCCTAAACCCTAAACCCGAAACCCCCCCTCCCTTCAGAACCCTTTAAGAGCTCCGGCCCCCAGGTGACCGCCACGTCGCGCGCGTTCGCCGCGCTGCTTGGGCGATCCGGTTTAGGGTTTAGGGTTTGGGGTTTAGGTTTAGGGTTTAGGGTTTTGAGGTTTAGGGTTTAGGGATCTGTTTGGAGGGTTGTCGGGGTGCAGGGTTTAGAGTGTAAGGATTTGTGGGAATCGATATCCTCAAATCCCAAAGCAAGGCCCCTAAACCCTAAATCTTAAGCAATAAACCGCCCAAATCCCGTATTTTGCAAGCTGGCTGAGGGGTTGAATTAGGGTTCAGGGACTGCAAATCCCTTATTCGGAACCCTAAAGTTTAGGGTTAGGGTTGCGGATTACGGTTTAGGCAGGGTTGAGGGTTTTTTGGGCTCTCAAGACACCAAGGGCACCCCCGGTGACCTTCAACAGCTTATAAGCTCAATCAAAAGCGCTAATCCCTACGCCCCAAACCCCTACACCCCAACCCCAAACCCCAAACGCTAAACTCTAAACCCTACTTGAAGGTTGCTGGTTTTTGGGCCTGACTCACCCCCCCCTCACCCCCCCCTCACCCCCCTCTCCCTCACCTCCATCAACCACCACCCCCCCTCACCCCCCCCCTCTCACCCCCCTCACCCCCCCCTCACCCCCCCCTCACCCCCCCTCACCCCCCCCACCCCCCCCCCCACTCACTCCCCTTAACCCCCCCTCACGCCCCCACTCACCGCCCCTCACCCCCCCTCACCCCCCATAAACCCTGAACCCTAAACCCTTAAACCCTTAAACCCTTAAACCCTTAAACCCTTAAACCCTTAAACCCTTAAACCCTTAAACCCTTAAACCCTTAAACCCTTAAACCCTTAAACGCTTAAACGCTTAAACGCTTAAACCCTTAAACCCTAAACCCTAACCCCTAAACCCTCACCCCAAGGCTGCTGCGTGATGGCCGCGTGGTGCCACGGCGTCAGATTCATCGCGCAAAACGAAGGCACTCGTAGGCACTCGAACCCTTGAACCCTCGAAGGCTACATGCTCTGGGGTTTAGGGTTTAGGGTTCAGGGTTTAGGGTTTAGGCTAAAGGGTTTAGGGTTTAGGGTTCAGGGTTTAGGGTCAATACCCCAAAATGCCTGAGACCAGCTGTCCGAGGTGACATGGGGTCTGAGGGAGTTCGGCAGCGACAGCAGCGAGGTCCAGGACGCGCCAGTTGGCTTTATTAGAATGAAGAAACCCCAAACCTGAAAACCTTGAGTTTTGTACATTCCCAACCTTTTGAAGGTTTTGCCGATTGTTTGCGGTTTTTAGGGTTTATGGTTTTGGGTCACTGCGATGAGGCGGTCCCTAGTATCTGAGGTACTGTACCCCAAGAGGGACCATCATTTTGAGAGCTGCATCTGGGTGTTCAGACTTCAGGGTCTTGGGGTTTTGGGCTGCAGAAGGCCCTGCGTTGGAGCTGCTTGCCCCACCCCCCCCCCCAAAAAAAAAGAAAACATTATATACATATATATATATACATATATATATATACACATATATATACATATTTATATACATGTATATATATATATATATGTATAAATGTTGTAATGTTATCTTCCTGCAAACCCTAAAATGCACAAGCACAAATCCTGGCAGGCGAGGACGCATGTTCCGAAAACCGCAAAAGCAAACCAAACCAAAAAAAACGAATCAGGAAAATTGCAAAACGTCCGGGCTCAACCCTGAAGAGAGAGAGAGAGAGAGAGAGAGAGAGACAGAGAGGCAGCCCCCAGCCCAAAAACACCCTCAACCCGAAGCCCAGTAACCCTAAACCCTAATCAACCTTTTTACTCCCTAAACCCTAAACCCCAAACTCCCTAAACCCTAAACTCCCTAAACTCCCTAAACCCCCTAAACCCTAAACCCTAAACCCCCTAAACCCTAAACTCCCTAAACCCTAAACTCCCTAAACCCTAAACCCTAAACTCCCTAAACCCTAAACCCTAAACCCTTCAAGAGCGCAGGAGGAACTCCGCGACGTCCGCGGGCTCTGCGCCTCCTATGGCGCCTTTGCGGCGCTCCGCAGGGATGGCCAGGCCTCCGCCCGTTTAGGGTTTAGGGTTTAGGGTTTACGGTTTAGGGTTCAGGGTTTGGGGTTTAGGGTTTAGGGTTTGGGGTTTAGGGTTCAGGGTTTGGGGTCTAGGGTTTAGGGTTTAGGGTTTAGGGTTTGGGGTTTAGGGTTTAGGGTTTAGGGTTTCGGTGAATTGAGACCTTGAAAACCCCTAAAGCCCTCAACTCTAACACCCTCAGCTTTGAATCCCTGCGGCGCGACACCGGAACCCTAGGCCCAAAACTGTTGAATACCCCTTTGGCATACCCCTTAAACGAACATGAGGGGTATGGCAAAAGGGTTTAGGGTTTAGGGTTTAGGGTTTAGGGTTTAGGGTTTAGGGGTTTAGGGTATCCTCCTTTTGTAGTGTTGACTTGTTCTTAGATTGTAGGTTCTCAAGGGAGGGGGGGTTTCAAGGGGGGGTATGCAACCCAAGGTGCACCAGCTTTATAGGGCTCCTTAAGCCGGTAGCATGCTGCTAGACTTGTGATCACGTCCCGTTGGCTCCTTAAGCATTTAAGACGACTTCGTGCTACCGCTGCAGCGCCATTTAAGGATTTAAGACGACTTTGTGCTACCGCTGCAGCGCCATGCTTTCATTCACCAGGATGGAGATGACAAGGCTTGTCTTTACAGCCTGCCTCACCTTATGTGTACTTTTGGCGAGTATCGCTGTATTGCCACAACGGAGACCTGTTGGGCTCTTTGCTGCACCCCTCTCCCATGCTGGCGAGGCTGCTTCTGCTTGCCACAGGCCACGACTAATTCTCCACGTAGGACCACCTAAGACTGGAAGCACAGCCATTCAGAGTTTTCTGAAAAAGGAGCAGCTGTGGCTTGAGAAACACTTGAATGTGGGTGTGGCTCTGATGAATACCACGCACGTCAAGTACGCAAATCTTCTGACGCACTTTGTGTCTTGCAAGCTTGGCAGATCTGGTGGCTGTTGGTTCGCCTCAAGAAAGATCTTCGGCAAGAACAATGGCACAACCGTCCGGTCGGAAGTTTTGCTTCCGGCGCTGAATTCTGCAGCTCAAGAGCTGCTTTGTGGTATACTTACTGTAACTTTAGCTCCTTACCTTTTTTTTTGGGCTCACTGGGTTTTCTTATTAAGGCAGCTAATTAAGTTTAATTTTTAGCCTACCCTCCTGAGTGCATCCAAGGTTGCTGCATCTCATCGAAGGGAAGCTGCAGAGATTTCCCGCGGTAGTTTCTAGGATGCCCAGTAGTGCCCTTATTCCCTTTTTGGGGGTTTTAGGTTCCCCTATAAACCCCTTTAAGCAAAAAAGGGCACTCTTTTTCATCCTAGGTTACTGGGCAACCTAGGTTTTTTCGTCCGAGGCTTTCGCAGGGTTCGATGCAAGGATGTGGCAATACTTCGTAGAGATGTTTCACAAAAGCAGCTTAGGGGTACTTTGGAAACTATTTTTCATTTTTGGGTACTGCAATTCTTAAGAAACAGCAAACAAATAGCTTTTGTGCTAGGGTTCCAAGTTCAGTAAAGGCAAGCCGTGCTTCTCGGCTGCAGTTTTTCATCGAGCGTCCGTTGACTGGCTGGCATCATCCTGGATGCAGAGTTCAAGAACAACCAACGCACCAAAATCCTGGATGCAGCATCTCAGCCAGAGGATGGGAAACAGGGAGCCCGATCAGGAGGGAGACGTCGACTTCCAGCTTCAACTGCTGAATATATTGAGAAGTATGTTCCCTCAAGCCGTGCATGCGGCTTCTTACGATTACTTGAAGGAGGTGAACTGCAGCACTGCTTCTTTTCTCATCTGCAATGCCACCCTCCGCAAGACAGGTCGATCTTGGGAAACCTGCAGGGGCGAGGTCAACAGAAGGGGGGTTGAGATACACAAGTCACCACCCCTGGCAGCAGTGGATGTGGTAAGGCTTTCACGTTTAGTGAAGAACGCCATGATGAATTCAACAGCCGCCGGGCATTGCAAGAACCTGCAAATCCCTATTGTGGAGTCGCCCGAGGTCATCAAAGCTGCGAATTCGATGCCTCTACGCTGCGACAATCTTGATGGTCTCTTCAAGGCGGAGACGGACAGATGGTTTGCTCGTTCTGGAGCACAGCCGCCACGATCTAGGTCGAAGCCATTCTGTCACGTCGCAACTGATTTGCTTGAGCCGGAGCATTGGCGAACGATCCGGAGTCTTCTGCCAGGTTGCTGAGTTGCCTCAAGACCAGTCCTAGAAGGCCCCAAGTGCTCCTAAACCCTAAACCCTAAACCCTAAACCCTAAACCCTAAACCCTAAACCCTAAACCCCTGTTGGACCCCCCCCCGCCCCCCCTCCCCGGCCACACACAGAGTTTATCATGCAGAGCAAAAGTGCACCGCCGCATGTTGCAAAGCATCGGTGGCTCGAGGCCTGGAGCTTGAAATCCCAACCCACAAGGTTTAGGGTTTAGGGTTTAGGGGTTTGGGGTTTAGGGTTTAGGGTTTAGGGTTTAGGGTTTAGGGGTTTGGGGTTTGGGGTTTAGGGTTTAGGGTTTAGGGTGTAGGGTTTTGGGGTTTGGGGTTTGGGGTTTAGGGTTTAGGGTTTAGGGTTTAGGGTTTAGGGTTTAGCAACACAAAACCCTAAGCACTAAGCTTCAAACCCTAAGTTTTGAAGCCTGAATCTCAAAGCAAACTCTTCAATAGCCCCAAGCCCTCAACCCTCGAGGAGAAATCAACACTCCGGCCCCAAACCCTGGCCCTGAACCCTCAACCTCAAACAACTTAACCCTTAACCCTAACCCTATAGCCTTCAGCCCTCAACCCTAAAGGGAAAATCACTGATTGCCGCCAGGATCAAGGGTCCCTAAAGTTTTCCAGGTTCCTAGTTTTCATGAACCCCTTCCCTTAAGCACCCTGTCATAAACCCTGAAGGCCCCCAACCCTGAGCCCCAGGTAGGGTTTAGGGTTTAGGGTTTATGGTTTCGGGTTTAGGGCTTAGGGTTTAGGGCCCCAAACCCTGAGCCCCAGGTAATAACCTGGGGAAATCCTCTCTATGGCGGCAGCAGCGCCAGCGTGTGCGACAAGCCGCTCGGCCTCTAGAATGGTGGCTAGGGCCCCTGGACCTTATAAACCCTAAACCCTAAACCCTGGGTTTGGGGCTTACAAAAAGGGCTTGGCGGATGTAGGGTTTAGGGTTTAGGGCTTAGGTTTTAGGTTTAGGGTTTAGGGTTTTGGGTTTTGGGGCGCAGGGTTTCGGATCAAGCGGCTGGATGTTTCGTGAACCCGCAGACGAGCAGATGCCGCGACTTCTGAAGCCTGGGTTTAGGGTTTGGGGTTTAGGGTTTAGGGTTCAGGGTTTAGGGTTTAGGGTTTAGAGTTTAGGGTTTAGGGTTTAGGGTTTAGGGGTTTAGAGCAGTTTGTGCGGTTCTTGTTGTGCACCCCCCCGGGCTTGCAGGGTTAGGGCTGTTTGCAGCCCAGACCCTAAAACCTTTAAGAGCGACACTAAATACCAATTTTGGATTCGAGCAAGAAGAAGTTAGGGCTCTCTTATTGGCTCTCAAGCCCTAAAAACCCTAGACCCTATCAACAGAAGCCTCAACACCTCGAAACCCTAAACCCTAAACCCTAAACCCTAAGCCCTAAACCCTAAACCCTAAACCCTAAACCCTAAACCCTAAACCCTAAACCCTAAACATGAACAAGTCTCCTAAGGCTCAAGCGCGTCCGCCGGCTCTACGCCACTGCGGAAGCCTTCGCAGCCATCCTCGACAACGGACGGGTGCCGTGGCGCAAAGGAGATCAGGGTTTGGGGGCTTCTAGCTACGGTTTAGGGTTTAGGGTTTAGGGTTTAGGGTTTGGGTTTAGGGTTTAGGGCCGTGAGGATCCTTACCCCCGGGCTCCAAGTAGACCTACTTTGGGCTGTTTGGAGTTCTGGTTCTTTCTTGGGGTTTAGGGCATTAGGGCTTCGGGTTTAGGGGTTGGGGTTTCGGGTTTAGGCAAAGGTTTGTTTTTGATGGAAGGGTCCGAGGAGCTTTAGGGTTTTCTGGGCGGTTGCCGGTCTTCGTCAGAGGTGGTGACTTTTAAGGTTTGTTAACGTTAAGAAACCCTAAACCCATAAACCCCAAACACCTGACATGACTAAACCCTAAACCCTAAACCCTAAAACCTAAACCCTAAACCCTAAACCCTAAAACCTAAAACCTAAACCCTAAACCCTAAACCCTAAACCCTAACCCCTAAACCCCGAGGTGGTGACTTGGGGCGATCCAGAATCCGGAGGCGCCACAGCTGCGCACTGCACGTTCGCAGCCCCATACTGTGGGATAAGGGTTTTGGGGTTTAGGGTTTGGGGTTTGGGGTTTAGGGTTTAGGGTTTAGGGTTTAGGGTTTGGGGCTTAGGGTTTAAGGTTTAGGGTTTAAGGTTCAGGGTTTAGGGCTTCGGTCTATTCCTTAATCAAGGGGTTTGGGAAGATCTGGGCTAGACATGTGGAGGTTTCCGAACATAGGGGTACCCTTTCTTTGGGGTCCCTCTGAAGGAGGTTCAATTATATTTGGGCTGATTTGGGGAGTTGCCCATCTGGCCACCTAGAGTAAATTCATGCTATCTTGAAGCCAAGGAAGCCCTAAACCCTAAACCCTAAACTCTCTTCTGAGCAGCCGCTTGGTCAGGTAGTACTGCTCAATCCCATGCCCTCGTTGCCCGAGGGGCTTCCCAGCTGCAAAATGAAGTATGAGGACGCCGTTGCCAGCCGGACTCGACAGACAACGGATTTGGAGCCTGACCTCAGGCAGAGTCATGGCCAGCAAGGCGTAGAAATGCGACAGTGCGATCTTGCACAAGTTGTGCAAGTTTAGGGTTTAGGGTTTAGGACTTAGGGCTTAGGGGTTTCCGGCTTTCACTGATGTGGGTTTGCCGCCCGAGTGGTTGCTGCGTCGAGTTGCTGCCGTGCTGGGCCCTGCCGAAGGCCCAGTTAACTGCTCGAAGGTTCATGGTACTTATTAACCAATTATAACTGTACTTAGAAGCCCCTTAAATGCCCTAATATAGTTATAATTTGGGGTATAAGTGCAGTTATATTTGGTTAATAAGTACCATGAACCCTCAAGCAGCTAGCTGGGAGCGAGGTGCTGAGTTTCATCAGCGACGCTGGGTCTTCGAGTTCGATGATCAACTGCAAGTAGTTCCCGTAGCCATTCTGCTAAACCCTAAACCCTAAACCCTAAACCCTAAACCCTAAACCCTAAACCCTAAACCCTAACCCCCTCAACCCCCCCCCCCCCCCCCCCCCAAAAATCCCTAGACGTTGCAGGAACCCCCAACTCTAAGCCCCGAAACCTAGTGGTTCTTCGTAGGGAAATTGAGGGTGCTAGTAGTACCCTATCGAATTCCTCAGGGCTTGGGGCTTAGGGCTTTAGGGTTTAGGGCTTAGGGTTGAGAGTAGATGTAGTGGAATGTAGGGCGCCTATTTCCCTCGAGTGCGCTAGTAGGGAAACCCTAGGCCGAAGGCCCTGGCCGCTTGAAACTCCTTCAATCCTTATAGAAGTTCCGGGTTTAGTGTTTAGGGTTTAGGGTTTAGGGACCCTGCGCAGCACTGAACTGGAAACACCAGAAACCCTGTTTGATTTTGGACCCTATACAAAACAAGCCCGATGAATCAACCAAGCCCTGGGAATCTCTTCCTCTCAACGCCCCGTCGACAGACCGCCAGACCCGGTAGTGAGTGAGGCTTAAGCAGAGCAGTTTTGTCCCACCCTCAGAAGTAGGCCTGAATCCTAAACCCTAAACCCTGAACCTTGAATCCTAACCCCTAAACCCGGCTACGGTACGCCCGACTTCCTCAATCCCAAACCTGGCGAAAAGCCCTCAGCTGTATCCTAATTCGAGAATACTTGGGCCCTAAAGTACCTCCGATATCGGGACTTTTGGGCCCAAGTTTTTCATGATGTGGTGCATGGACCATTTGGGTAAGGGTTTAGGGCCCCTGAATTAAGGAATAAACCGTAAATCATATCAAGGATCCCTAGATAAACTAACTAAGCAATGTTCCCTAGTTAAGGGGCATATTGGGCCTCAGCTGTACGTGATGAAAGCAGCGCAGGTGACTCCCGTGAGGTGCAGGCACGGGGAGAGGAGAGAGTTTTGACATCGTCGAGAGTTGAAGGAGGGCTTTTGGGTTGCTATCCCTAAACCCTAAACCCTGAACCGCAAACCCTAAACCTAACCTCTAACCCTAACCCCTAAACCCCTAAACCCCTAAAGCCCTAAAGCCCTAAAGCCCTAAAGCCCTAAAGCCCTAAACCCCTAAACCCCCAAACCCCAAACCCCAAACCCCAAACCCCAAACCCCTAAACCCCTAAACCCCTAAACCCTAAACCCTAAACCCTAAACCCTAAACCCTAAACCCTAAACCCTAAACCCTAAACCCTAAACCCTTCCTGAATTGTGCCAAGCTGGGCTTGATCCCTCACCGCCTCAGACCCCTCCTGCGCACCCCGCGGCTCCCATATTCTGGCGAACCTGCAAAGGGTCACTCAGCCCATTTAGGGTCTCGGGTCTAGGGTTCAGGGTGTAGGGTTTAGGGTTTAGGGTTTAGGGCATTTAGGGTATTTAGGGTTTTTAGGGTTTAGGGTTTAGGGTTTAGGATTTAGGGTTTAGTTGGACCGAAACCCTGTAACGAGGCGCAGCTGCGCAATGTGCAGCGGATTGCGGCGTCGCAGGCGACCAGGGAGCAAGATCTGTGGGCATCAGGTTTCGTGGTTGTTGCCTAGTAGTAGAGTAGGTAACCTTTAACCTTGTTGGGGAAGTGTAATCCCCTTAGAATCCCAAAGGTTAACCTTTACTTCGCCCAGGTTACTGGACAACAAAGGTTACATGTGTTTTTTAGGGTTAAAGCGCCCTCAACCCAAAGCCCTAAACCCTAAACACTAAACCCTAAACCCTAAACCCTAAACCCTAAACCCTAAACCCTAAACCCTACAAAGCAAAGCCCGAACTTCGGGTCTTCGAAGGGCTTCGGGATTGAGACGGGGGCTGGGTTAAACTATAAAGCCCGAACTTTAGGGTTTAGGGTTTAGGGTCCGAACTAGTACCATAGAGCATGCACGAGTCAAGCAAGTCATCGAGCGTTGGAACTACAACCACTTGCCCAAGGAGAAGGAGCGCTCACGCTCCACATTGTTCTTTACACTACGTAGACCTCCTCTAAGCCAGCGCCCTCTCGAATCCTAAATTCA